ATGATAGATAGACGGTGTATATTAAACATAATATTACAATGTACAGTTGTATTGGCTGTTAGGACATCTTCTTTTTTTATTAACTAGTCATGTTTCACTCTTTTTTTTTATTAACTACTCATGTTTCACACATCATGTTCTCAAGGCCATGTAACATATTTGTACAATGTACACTGAGTTAATGTGTATATGATAAAAGGTGTACATTAAAAATGTAACGTAGCTGTACAATGTACACTTATTTAATGTACATAAGATATAAGGTGTACATTAAACATCTAACAATGTTGTACACAGGCCATGTTACATTGTTGTACAATGTACACTGATTTAATGTGTATATGATATAGCATGTACATTTAAAAAGTAACATAGCTGTACAATTTACACTGAGTTAATGTGTATATGATAGATAGACGGTGTATATTAAACATGTGTGTCACCGGTGATCTTAAACATGTGTGTATTGGCTATCCACCTTCAGCCTTCTTATTTTGGTAAAACCCCATCTATGCAAGGCCATGTAACATAGATGTACAATGTACACTGATTTAATGTGTATATAATATAAGGTGTACATTAAAACATGTGTGTACAATAATTCAGTGTACGTTGTACATATGCCATGTTACATTGTTGTACAATGTACACTTATTTAATGTGTATATGATATAGGGTGTACATTAAAAAAGTAACATAGCTGTACAATTTACACTGAGTTAATGTGTATGATAGGTAGAAGGTGTACATTAAACATGTGTGTATCCGGTGATCTTAAACATGTGTGTATTGCACATGAGTTACGAGTATATTGCACATGAGTTACGAGTATATGTAACATACCCGTACAATGTAGACATCAATGTACATGTACATTTAATATTGCACATGAGTTACGAGTATATAATACCAAATTATACATTGATATACATTGTACAGTTGTGGGACATGTAGATGATGAACAATGTGTATATCGTACATGTGTGTGTTGGTTGTACATTGATACACTGAAATAGTGGTTAAAATTGTACACCTAAATGAACATGGGTTGAAAGTGTATAATTGTTTTGTGTACGTTTAAATGATTGGTGTACAGGGCTTGAGAACGAGTTGTGTATGTCTTATTATGTACATGGGCTTGAGAACATGGGGTTTTACCAAAATAAGAAGGGTGAAACATGAGTAGTTAATAAAAAGAAGATATCCTAACAGCCAATACATGTTTTGCAATGTTTTTTAACATGCCCAAAAAACCAAAAAATATTAGAGCAACAAAAGAGGTTGTTCATAGAGGTGAAGACGCTATCCAGAAGACAATTCTCATGGATATAAAATTCACCACAGATCATATAGGCACAACGCAGTTAGTCCTGTTGTGACCGGAAACACCACAGCGACCGCATTTGTTGAGCTTTGTTTTTTTAGGGACCTGAAATATAAAAGCATAATGAGAGTAAATTTGAGTTGCTTGTTGAGAATAAGAAAAACTTGGATCCTAACCTGGATTTCGCCAGTGGAAGGGATGCGTTTATCCTTTGGACGTCCAGAAGGACGACGAGTGTTTGGAGGCTGTAGGTTGAGCCTTTCAATTGCTACAGGGATTGGTTGTTCACCAAATGGCGCTTCTGGGTAAATGGCAGCAGCATAGGTATCTTTCCATGTTTGGGTTTTGTAACAATCAGCAACAAGTTGAGCATGAGGGAGAC